TTTAACCAAAATTGTATTATTTTCTCTCTAAAAAATAAAATTTAAAAATTTCAAATCTCTATTATATATCAGTCTTCGGACTTATGTAAGGAATTTTCTTTTATCATTCCAGTGGTGATCAATTATTTTCGATTTCTGCACGATAAATCACTCCCAAAAACGGTAAAAAACAAACCGACTTAATCTAATGTGTACAATTTAGGCGAATGAGGCTCATGACCGTTCATTTTAATCACTTTAACCGACCTTCTTAAAATAAAAAAACAAACATTCGGTCGACTGTACGACAAGAGTAAAGGAACACAAGAAAATACATTTTTCTTTTAATCTTCTTTCTTCGTTTTGTTCTTTACACGCCCTAGTACGGATAACTATTCAAACGACCTGAAACATTAATATCGATCATTACTATCGATTAACGAAATAGATTAGCGTAATTCTACGTTAATAGTTTAGTCAATAGTTGATGCCGGCAGTATAAAACACCCCAATTTGGTTTGTTTAAATATTTTTTTTTTGTGCGCGTGAATAATTTGTTTAAATCGCTTTAATTAATATATCTTTATAAAACCATTTCCCGGCTAAATAATCGTACTCGTTGAGTCATAAAATTTAAACTAATGTTCTAATTACTATATCGCCGCCAGATCGGCTTTGATTTACAAAATTATAATAACTTTTTTAAGATTTTTATTACGTTTTTCAATTACGAACATCTGGTAATAAATACTAATTGGTACAGTTTTACACGTCAAACGATGACTGAGCTGGCAGAGATGTCACTCCGAAAGAGAGCACATTTGTGATGTACAATAAGCGTACCGATCCTTCATCTGTCTCAGTTCCAGGATTTAAAAACTAAGTGTAAAGAAATTTTAGTGTTTTTTGTTCTTTTTCTATCGGTTGCCCTAGTTTTAAATTGGTCCCGCCGATTCGACTATCCACACGGGATCGCCGTTCTCTTCGAGCGCTTTCAAACGTGCTTATTTGAATCTTATCGCAGAGCTCCTAAATCCTCCTTTGAAATCCTGGAGCACGAGTCCTTCGGTTGATTTATCGATAGTTTTCTTAGACGGAGGTGGAAATTCCTCAGGCCCCTCGTGTTCTCGTGCAGGACGAAAAATACGTCCAGACGTTGTAAGGGGAAATAAGTTAATTTTTGAATCTCTCGAATCATCACCGAATTAGACGAATATTGTAAAATGAAATAATTGCGATGTATTATTATGAAAAAACACGGATTTAAAGGTAGACGCGCGACAATTTTAACTAATTAAAAAACTTGAATTCTTAATTCATTTCACGGAACTTAATCTGGGACATGAATGAAACAGTGAAAAAGCGAAATTGGTTTCCGTCGTATTTAAAAGAACCATATCGCGTTTCTCTATATTTTGACAGTTTTTTTAAACGAAATATTTGAAAAACAGCATAACATGTTTAATGTTGGTGCGAGTAAATTCGATTGCCGATTTATTACTTGGTCAAATTTGACCTGGTCGAATTTATCTCCGAAACATCATTGACATGGGTGTTTCGGAACATTTTGATCCGCCTACACACGCCGCTTTGGTCTGTCAGACGCATTCGTCTTCTCGCCATTTTCAGAGGTTGGGTATGGATATTATCGATTCTGTAAAATAAAAACAGACACACATACCACTGAGAGTCGGACAGAGACTGACAGACCAAGATAGGCGGATTAAAACGATTCGCCGATAAATTTAACCAAGTTGGCAATTTAACCAAATTGGCAATCGAATTTACTGCAACAACAAACAGGATTTTTAAGATTTTCCTTTTTAAACGATTAAAACCTTCATCGGCTTGAACTATTGTTGTTGTTTATTATACTATCACATTACAAACTCGGGTCTAATTAATTAATTTGTGAACAAAAGGGGAATTAATTGTCTGTCGGTGATTTCCTACGCCCTTGACCTTCGACGCGTGTGACGCACATGACCGCATTCAATCAAATGTACAAAAACCAGAAAATGGTTCTATTCAAATGATCTCAACTCATGTCGTTACGACGATTTGTAATATAGAGATTTATTTATTGAGAAATAATTCGTATCTAATAATTCATAACGCGTCCGTTTTCGCCCTGTGAGAGACATATGTGGGACATGACAAATTTGTGTCCTGTTTCAGTTGTGTTGAGCTGCAAATCTGGCGATGTACGAAATTGTGAACGACGGGGGTGTGGCTGCGGAGGTATCGACCGACGCTTCTCCTGCGACTCTCCACCGCTTATTTATATGACGCAGTTTCCGACCTGTATTACCCAAGGACCGATTGAGTTTTTCACAGTAGGTTTGTCATTCTTCAAAATTATGCAGTTGTTTTCAGAATAAATATGTATCGTCCTGTATGACTTAAGAACAAAATGAAACCTGGCATCTGTAATTTTAAATATTTGGGGGGGGGGTTTATCATCCTAAGTATCGCACAATTTAATGATCTTGAAGCCAATGTTACACCCGACTGCAAATTCACTGATCCAATTACTTTTAAGGTTTTCTTCAAAAATTAAAGTTTGACGTGCAAGAAGAGAAGAAGTGAAACTAAAAAAAAGATGGCAAAACTGATTGACATCTTACGAGCTAAATTTCTTAATACTTTTATCCGAATTCTTCGACCTCGAAAGGAAGTCAGGGTACAAAGAATATGGATCATTATTTCTTTTTTTTAAATCCATTGCATCAATCACATAATTGTTATATATTTTTAAATTTACCTAAACTTACATCTTTTAGCTAATTTCTAGTGAGTGGTACAGACTTTACTGACTTTAGACGGTTTTCCAAGGTGTTTAACAATTTTCTTCCAATTAAAAAATGGATAGCCATGTTATCACGATCTTTTTTACAAAAGGGTTAATCCATTGTGATTTTTTCATTTTGTAGGTTTTAGTTGTAAATATTTGGCGAAAACAGTCGGACTTTTACTTGTGTGAAAAACAAAACTCACTACACCCCTACTCGGCCCATCTACAAGATTAATCTAGGGAAAGGTCGTGCAGTGTTTAAAGGGTAAAAAAGGGTAAAAATTCTTTTCGACCCATAAAATAATAATTTAAATTTTGAACAAAGAACCGTATGCTTTTTGTTTAGAATTTAAATAAGTAATCTAATACAAACAACTATTTTTCTGTGGTTACATAACAATTTATTAACCAAAATTTTTACAGAATATACTTTAAGACTTCCAATTAATCAAAAACGGACGTAGCGCTCATAAGTCTTCCTAATTTTCTTTGGATTAGCAATTTCTTTTTGAACGATCTGTCCCATCTTGTCAGCTTTACCCAATCTGGAATTAGTCAATAATTTTATGTTGTATTTATCCTTCTTAAAAGTAGTTGATCTATTGAAAATTAGGACCGGAAAAACAAATATAAAATTTTAATTAATTCTACTTTTTATCTAAGGTCTTGGTTGAATGAAAAAGCTAGTGTCATGAGCGGGATTCGAACCCACGACGTTGCTAACCTCTTGTGTTATCGTGTTGAAGGTCGTTGGTTCGAATCTCGCTCGTGACGTTAGCTTTTTAATCTCAACCAAGACCTTAGATTAAAAGTATAATTAATTACAATTATTAATACGGTCAGTTATGATTACTAAATCCATATATATAAAATTGATTTCTACTAACCGCCTACAGGTTAGAAAGCTTACAAATAACTAAAAGTATATTTTCACTTAACTTTAGAGGTTGCTTGAATATGTCAGTACAGACCGAAACGCCAACTCTTGTCGGGTGGGAAGTGTTAAGAGAAAATAATCCGAAATGAGGCGAAGGTTTACGTTTTCCCTTAGCAATAATATTAGGGTTGATAATTTTTGTTTTGTCCTGTTCCTGTCCTGTCAATTATAGTCATCTGAAGTCGGCGCTGAATCTACTAATAGCCATGCACATTCGATTAAATGTAGATTTTCAGTTAGTAGAAGAGTTCCCTCGAAATTGTGGTATACGACAATGGTTGCCAGTAGTAGCAAGTTGTAATTGCCACATTTACCATTGGCCCCTTGACACTTAGTGGAATTAATAGGACATTTAATCGTACAAGATTAATTTGATTGAAATTATTATTGTTGAATAAAATCTCCTTCCCAGAAATCAAATGACATTTCCATATAACTTAAAAAACAAGATTTTCTAAAATTGTTAATTAACACTAGTAAAAATGCTCGTTAGGTTTCCTCAAGACGAAAAACTTTATTAGAGATTTTTCACTTTAATTACACAATATACAGAAAATTAAGTTATTTATTTTTATATATCTTTTATCAATTTAAAAATTGCAAAGTGAAGCCCTACTTTAACTTTTGTAAGATAGTGGAATCAAAATCTTATCCCGGCCTTTGGTACGAGACGGGAAAAGCGAAAAGAAAATTAATTGTTTACCCTTTATTTTAATTACATTTATATATTATTAAGTTTTTTAATTTGTGAATTGTTTTACATTTAACAACTATGATAAAAAAAGGAAAATAAAACTCATAGTCTATATCAACTTAACAATAATTCAGACGGTCTTGAATTGTCTAAACATTTTTCAACTAAAATTTCGTAAACATCACCCGGCTCGGAGGACCAAAATTTGTTAACAAACGGCAATGCATTTCTCGCAAGGTTAGAACATTTGAAGGTAACTTTGAACAAAATTCTATTTATCCTAAAAGTGTGTTTTCGCGATTGCAATTGAAATCGGACATTATGAGATTTCTTGTTGGATAATTTTTGCGTTCCCGCAAAACCGTGGCGCTACTTGCTTTCAAACAACTAGCGCTTCGTCTGGACGAGAATTATCACGATTGTCTGATATCAGGAGGTGGAGTTGTGACAAGAGCTCACATGCATGTTTGTTTCACAAGTTGTATGTTTTCCATGTATATTTTTTTAATTTTCATGTTAAGAATTTAGGCTAAACATTCAAAATAATTTTAATAGCGAGACGGATTGGTGTGGGACAAAAAAGAACAAACACTTACTTCGTTTAATAGGGAAGAGCTTTGCATGGCCTTGTTTTATAGATTCCAGTAAGTTCTCCCTGGGGGTCCGATTGACAAGTTTGGGCGGATTTAATTTTCTTTCAGAGGCCTGAAAAAATAAACAAATTTTAATTATCTATAAAAACAAACAAATGAGAATGAAATGGTTCACATGCAACTTGATATGCAGTGTCTTCCTACATTGGGCTTAATGGCATGTCAAAAAAATAGTTTATTTGTTAAATCGTGCAAAAAGGAAACGGGCACTCATGTTTCAAGACAAGAAAAAAAATTGAACCATAAAATTGTTGGTTGTGTTCATGTTAATTTATTGGGATGAATGTAATTTATCAGCGTGAATGGAAAAGTTGCTCAACTTTGCTTCCGAAGAATATCGAGTAGTCTGAGGTGGGTGTGTGACGTCTGGAGAGTAAAAGTAAGTTATTAGCGTGAATGGAGTGGGGTACTCCGGGGGACCAGACATATATGCGTATGACGGGTGATGTAATGTTTTAATGTGTTGTTGACAACCTGTCACAAATGAGAGTTACCATTTTATAAAATACACATTTCGACTTTTCGTACAAAAGCAGCGAACCGTGGTAAATGGAAACGCTCAAATGAATACAAGCTGAAATATGCGTGAAAGACCAGAAGAACAAGTACAAACAGCAGAGGGCAAGAGATGACCTTCCCTAAACATTCTACATTATTATTTTGATTAATATTTCGTTTTAAACCATAAATCTCGGGGGATTCTTTAAAAACAATTGAAATCGTCAATTGTGCGTCATTGAAGCAGCTACAGGGCAGATTTTTTTTCTGTCTTCAACAAACACCAATGTATTACGGATTCAATTAACTTGCGTTTTGCTACAGAAACCAAGTTAAAAAACCTCCAAACACTATTAATTGCGTACGTGAAGAACACGAAATATTTCATAAATCCATACGATCTTATAAAATGACTGTATGACTACACTTCCATTTTTGGTAGACTGCCTTTTCATCGATGATAAATTAGGACAAATAAATAGCGGACTGTCTCAACCAATTCATGCGATCTATTTCTTCGTAAAATCCATCATAAATATCTTTTAAAATAATATTAATTGAATAGGCAACATTGGATGAAATCTTCTAAGAAGCAGCAATAAAAATTAAAACATTCGGTCCTGGCCTACTTTTCAATGAAATTTGTCTTAATTATTGATTCGATTGAATGAATTTGGAATAAGAAGGAATTATGAGTTAATAGGTGAACGTCAAAATAGAGCTATAGAAAACTGGCTATGTAAAGAAAAATAACCCGCATAAGTAAAACCCAAAGGACTACAAATAAAAAATAAAAATATAAATAAACTAAAGTATAAATAATGTATTCGTTAATAAAACTATTTATTCATTCACAGGAATCAATATATATTTACGTATTTAATAGAACAATAATTATTAAAGTACCGAGTGGTTAAGGCGTCAGACTCTGGGCTAATAGATCCCGCGGTCATGGGTTCGATTCTCACCGTCGCCTCTGCACTTTTTTCTGACGCCTAAGAGGACCGGTGGCCGCAATTGAAAAAATATTGACACGGACTCATCAATGGAAGGGTCAATGGTGGGATCGGATCTCAGCGACCCTGAATTTGGGTCCCAACACTCTTCAAAAATTAGTCTCTTCTATGGACGAACACGAAAATGGATCCAGGAAGGAAATAAATAAGCTGTATACTGCAGCTGTTCATGGGGAACTCCTCCAGTTCCTGGTGTCCATTAGAAAAAAAATTAATATGAATACGCCCTACCCTCAGAATGGAAGGAGAGGCTTTTGCTATTATATAAAGAATGTCAATAAACCTTTTGTACATTAGATTACTTTTACAGTTTAAATAATTTCATTTTAACGAAAACATCATGAACTAGGAAGCTGAAGTTAGTACAACCGTGGTCCGTGCTAAAATTCTGTTAAATAAATTATTCACGCAGTAAATAAAGTAAATGTGCGGATGTTATCACTCTCACTAATTAAACATTTCTAGCATTATCCATTGTAAAGATTTGCATGTTTGAGTAAGGTCACTTAGTGGTGGCGGGATGTCCGATTTTTGTTATAGTTAGGGTGTAAACATAGCCGTTGGTGATTAAGTCCTTAAGTACTTTCAAGCACTTCATTTACGCCGGGTATGTTAAAGAGTCTCTTAATTGTATATTTCTCACATATCTAGGAGCTTAGTAATCGCAGTATGCAATTTGGCACAGTTTTCTTTTGATCAGTTTAGCTCAGATGGAACACCAGATGAAACAACCATACTGCCGTATGGGCCGAATGAACAGCGGGATAACAAGATTCACAGACTCACTTGATGTTTAAATAATTACACTCGGTTTCTAGTTTTAAGCGCAGCTGGAATTATTGGAGCATCCTAGAGAGCTTCTCAATGATGATAACAAAATATCTAGTGGACATCTTCATGGTATAGGTGTATAGGCCACGGAATTTGAAACGCTACTGGCGGAAAGGTGTTTTGTGGGTACACTGTATCACAGTTGATGCTGGGTGCGAGTCGCTGAACTCATGCTGATCCTGCGTTGGGTCAATTATTTAGCTCCTCATTGAAGATGGCGCAATGCCATGACGCGTTTGAGTAGTTCAGCTACCCGAGAGTGTGGACAGACGCAATAAGTGACACAATGCTTATGCTTATGTTATACGAGTTGACCTTTATCCTCCAATATGTACACCTTTCCTACTTTTGCCTTGCACCTGATTAGCTATTAAAAGCTTTAGATGTTATTGCCACGTCGTCTTCGAAATGGTACATTCTTTTGGGGTTATCTGTTAGTTTTAGATAGTCCTGTATATACACAAAACAGTGATAAGGTCCCAAGACGCTGCATTATAGAACTCCAAATTTTATCATCTATGACCTAGATTGTGCAATTTTGTACCTGATAGTCAAAGTTTTTGACGTACATTCAATTTTAGGACTCAGAAATGTGTACTCTGGTAGGTATGTTTTAAGCTCAAAGAGTCACACCAAAGCATATCGTTATTTTATTTTATTTTTAACGATTCGATTGAGTGAGCAAGTAGAAACCTTTGTTATTTATGAAATAGTGGTTTGTGATTGGTTTTTATTTATTTTTTACATTGTAGTGCACATTTACATTTCTGCTTCATTTCTTGAACTGGATATCAGCCAGTCAGCATAGCTGACAACTAATAGACAGTTATTTTAAAGGATGCCGTCTCACGGCCCGTTACCGGAAATTTTCCTTAAGACTAGCCGTGTGATTGGATTGTTAAACGGATAAATCCGACATCGGTTTTCCGGCTGGGGTTTCGGCAGGAAGGAAAATAATTGCAAAACAACCACATGAACATTAATTCCAAGGTTAACGTTCACTTATCGAACAGCAACTGCCGACGTTGACCGCAAAATCTAGTACCGAAGAGGCACCCATTAAGCATTTCGTATTTCCGTTTGTGATCCCGCTGGTATAAGCAAATTGGTTAGCTTCAATTACACTTCTAAAACCGAATTAATAATTTTTGCCATATTTGTAGGTGGTAACGGTTTTTTAATTCAGTATTAGTACTTTTAGGCAAAAAACGTTGCATACATATCAAAGAGTTGACGAGACCAACATACATACTTTAAAATAAAATGTGGCAACACTCATATACAAATTAGCGTAAAAGAATGAAAATAATAATAATAATTTATGGCTATGATCAAATAGATAAATCATTACAATGCTATTTTAGATGCATTCTTAGTTTACAACTACCTTGTTGCCTTCACATTTTTGTGATTGTAGTCTAAAATCAGTTTTTTTTAACATAAAATCATAATTTTTTGACTTTACCGTCATTGAAATACAAACCTTTATTTCATAAACTACATTAAATTTTTCACAAGGTAACAACATTTTTCTTGGAAAATTCGCGTTTCTGAATATACCTTAGCCTTTCAAAGAATAACAAATGGCAAAACCCCTTGTTTTTTGGAAATATTCAATTGTGGCTCGTGCAATGATTTTTCAATCAAAATTTTTGGGGATTTCACCAAGATTGCCATATTTTGTAAGTATCCAAAGACATATTCGCTTTTACACATTTTAGAATTTTTTTTAGTGAAATCTCCTTTAAAGTTTGAAATACATGATATCGAACCCAAGGATAGCAGCAACACAAGAACATGGTACATGTCATATTTTTAATAAAACCATTTATTAATTGGCAACAAAAATTGGATACATTCTTCTCATGAATTGTACATAATTAGAGAAAAATTGTAATTGTAAAAATTCTAAATAAATAAGTTTTCTAAAATTGTAAAAGTGAGTATGTCGTTGGAATGTTTATAAAATAAGGCAGCTTTGGTGAAATCCCGGAAAATCTCGATGGAAAAATCATTGCACGAGACACAATCAAATATTTCCAAAAAAATATGGGTTTTGCCATTTGTTATTCTTTGAGAGGCTAATGTTTGAAATGCGAATGTTTCAATGATACTAAAATTGAGAAATTACGAAAAACATATAATTTTATACTAAAATCACAAAAATATTACTATTTTAAGAAAGTAACAAGTGTGTCAAAACCTCGTAGACAATCAACCATGGCAGTATTGACATTTAACCCTGTAACACTGTATCGTTCAATTTTTTAAAAATGTTTTTAGGTTTTTAATTTAATTGCATAGCAAAATAAGAAACATAAAACGTATGCATAACGACGAAAGAGCTTAAACATTAAATAAATGTAAGAATCAGTAAAAGCACGTATTATAGGAAAAATGTAGTAATTGTTGAACAAATAAAATATTCGTCGGGTAAAACTTCCCCCGATTTGAGATTATTCCCTTGCATTTCTTTGGCAAAAAAAAATCAACTGGCCTCAAGAACTTTGCAGTGTACGAAAACAGGATACAGGACCCGAATGTCCGCTTTTCCTTTGCCGCCAGTTTCCCAAGCGAGTTTGTCGGCTATAAAAAAGCCAAGGCGATAAATAAACGGTTAAGAGCTTCTACTGCACATGGAATGCAGTCTCGACGAATCGGCAAAACGCAGTCAACTTGGCCTTTGCCACACGTCTGAAAAGACAGGAACGGTTTCCAAACGAAAGATATTTATGGGGGGGTCTTTCTTCTTTCCGTAGTTATAATCAATGAAAGTCCAGACAGGTATCATATTCCCGTTCACTTCGTTTCGTTCGTTTAGTTATTTATGTATCGGTTTAGTTATTTTTTGTTATTGTACAATAAATTTCCTATCCAGTTGCTTGATAATTATCTTCGTCGAGGTCAAGCTTATTTGTTCCTTCTACTTCCGCGCGGTTCGCCGTTTCTGGAGAGCGTAGGACGGTAGAAGGAAATGCAAAAAGAGAAACCCATCGAATATGGATCGCGGGATCGAGGACGGTTGAAAAAGGCACGTTTCAGTAAGGTCTTTACAAATAATTCTAGAAAATCAAAACCAAGGTAACTTAGTCGGTTGTTCAGATTTCTATTCAGATGAAAACGATACTTTCTTAAGCCCTTCGCCATATTTATATTTTAGGTTTGAAGTCTTTGGTGAATTTATAATTAATGTACGGTTCTTTTCTTTTTTTTCCCAATATAAGTCTAAACAAATTACAGTATGATACCCAGATATGGTAGGTCTTTCTTATAATTCGCTTCATCAGCTAGTACCCCTAGACGAAATCTACCTTAACTCAACCAACTATCTAATGTGTCCTCTATCTACTGCCCAAATCTATATTGTTTGACTTATACGTATTAGAAAAGTGTTTTCCTCAAAAAGAAACGGTACATGGACGAATTCGTGTCAAACTCTTCCAGAAAAAAATCGCGTGTTCTCGTGTGACAGTAGAAAGTTTCATTCCTACCTTGGGAAAACACACAAACACACGGATCAGGGCAGATATGCATAATTCATAAGCGCAGATGTTATTATGCTTTAATTACAAGCCGTACGAAATGTGGCGTACGTGGTATGCGGTCATGTAAACTATTGTGAAATTAGCTGATTGTTTACCATGTTTTATCGGTCACTAGTGTAAAAAATTCTCATCACTTTAATTATAAAGCTTTTCTACAAAAGAACATGGCGTAGCAAATCATTGAAGAACGATAGACCCCGGATGTATAAAATTAGTAGTAATACACAGTTTGAAGTTTCTTTGCTGGATGTGTTTAGCCTGAGGGGCCAAACGAAAGGAAAGTATGGCTAGGTGTTTGAACACTATCAATTATGTACTATTATTGTAATAAAGAATCACGAAGCTATTTGGGCAAGAAAATATGGAAGGGGTCAAAAGTCAACCTGCGGAACTCCGGTATCCAAACAGCGGGCGATAATTCAACACGAGATTAATAAAGTTTTAACTTTTGGCCCTAATGGACGCTCAGTCAAAACTAAACACCGTCATCGAAACGAACGCTCAACTGACCGATCTTTCTACATCGGGAAATAATTATCGAGCACCATCCCTCGACGTAAATCATTTTCTTCGTAGAACACGGCCTCGTTAGCTCGATACCATGGCCGCATGATTCGTTGCATCACCAAAATATGGTGCAGAACCTCTGATTTCAGATAGCCGATCCAGTCACGAGCCTTCAATCGCAAGTAACTTGGAAAATGACAGTTACATAATAGTCTATTCTCCTGACAAAGTTCTGGCAAACCGTACAAAGATCTTATCTTGTTCGACTATAACTATTATACTTGTCTTTTGTATAATAAATTTGTATGAAATGTACGTTTTGACTCCGACACTATGAAAACATCTTATGACAGCCCGGACAGAAAGGGACTCGAATATAAATTAAATAGGCTGATTCGTGATGGGATAAACTTCAAATTTTTTAATGTACCCAAATCCACTATTTAATAATTACAAAATAGTCGTACGAGTTAGTACCCTACGTAGTACGAAATATCTATTTTAAAAAATAAATAAACAAAAAGTAATGATCCTTGTGAATGCTGTATATTTAAAATGCTAACCATATTTTCAGTGTAGCTTCTTTGTTTCGGTTGACATCGCACGTCGCTGTAAACAAAATCTGGTCTGATTTGATACGTTGTTATGAGATCTTGAGGACAGTTCGTTTGTGTATAGCCAACATTCAACTTGAACAAAAGGCAAAACAAACAAAACAAGAATATCATGTCATCAAAGCACTAAGTTCAAAAATCATTAGCTCTAGGTGTGCTGAATTGCAAAACTAAACTAAACAGATTAGATACGCAAAACACCCCCTGTCACCCTCTGTCGGGCAGCAGGATATGTGGGAGTAGAGGGCAACGAGAAAGAGGACCCTTGCTGAAGCCTTGAAAGGGGCTGCTGAACCGCTGATAGGTCCGCCCTTATGCGCCATCATGATTCACACTATCAGTGAGTGTCTCAGGCAAAAAGGCAAATTAAAAATGAGGAAACAGTGGAACTCAATCATTGGGCATAAACAATCCAAGAACCTCCTGACAAACTTTGGCAGGAAGGAGGTAGCAAAATATAGAATGCAGAAAAACTGCACATTTTAACAGGATTCTGAAAACACACCTGAAGAAGACTGGCATAACCCAACATGGCAAGTGTATATTTTGCAAAGAAACAGATGAGACACCAACACACCTACTAATAAACCGTGGCGCCACATTTGCCCGCAGGAGGAAGTGTTTTGGGATGAACAACTTAACCTTAGCAGAAATTCAACCACCAAAATCTGCCCTACAATCTAATTTCTTGATCAATTAACTTACCGGTGTGCTAGAAGTACAGAACGGAGGATACACCCGGAACATTAAATCTACACACAATTTGGATTATAGTTAGTCTACTTTCCGAAGAAGTTATGTTAAAGAAATGTTTACAAAATAGTTTAAATAAAATTTGTTTAAGATTGTACTAAATGTTTCAACCCGAAGGGAAAAAAACGATCGAAACTTGTACACTAGTTAAGAAAAACTTTCTTCAGTCGGTATTCCAAATAAAGAACAGTCAAATTTAAACTTTGAAAGAACTTACGTGATAGACAAATCCGTTACACAACTGATCAGAGTATTTAAGGAGCCAAATTACTACGTTGCGCAATGAAAGAAAGGTAAAAAAAGTGTTGTTTCAACCAATAATTTTAATAGAACCTATCTCGATTCGATAATTGACAAATACTCCCGGCTACAAGAAATAGGAAAAGGTTCTTTAATGATTGTCAAGTTAATAATCCACCTGGAGTCATTTTCTAATCATGTCGTAGACAATATTTTCGTCTACGTAATCTGCCCAATTTGGTGAATAGTCTGTCGCTTTGGGCAATCCTGCGTGCCGACCGTGTTCAGTACGGCTTGATGAACCTATCGAACTCAGGTACTGGGACTGTCAGTATCAACTGAACGTAATCAGCGGGCAATAGGCTCCATACGGGCGCATATATTTTTTTTCTCTTCAGAATAGTTTCGAAGATTGCGGGGGCGGATTTTTTATAGTATACAACTTTCCTTTTATTCAAACGATTATATATAATTAACTTCTCATAAGCCAATCTTCAAAATTGTAGCTATGTGCGATAGGAAGAGATGAATAAATGGATAAGCCCTAGCTTAGGCGTCATGGCATCAGGACAGTAATCGCTTGTACTTCGCTCTTGATCGCTAACGATCAATTGACATTCTGAACGATTTGTTGATCCTGTTAAATTTTGAACAGCTAATAATTTAAACTTTCCAAATTGGTACGTTTCTTTATAAACTGACAAGGTTCACGTAGTTCTGGGAGAATTCGATAGTACCTAAAGACTTTTTCTGAATTGTATGTACTCGTTTCAGAAGTAAAAGGAAAAGATTCACTGATTGCGCTGACCTTTTTGAGCGGTGGGCGGGACCTGATGAACTCGAGGATAATGGCGTGGGCGTCTTTTTTGACGCGCTGAGGTATGTTACCGTCGATCATGACTTTGTTGAGTTTGTACCTCCTGGCGCGGATGTCTTCCATGAGTATCTCGTAGGGAGTCAACTCGAATTCGATCGGCTTCCGCGTGTAACACACCTTCTTCAACTGCACGCCCATCCGCAGCTCCCTGATGACCTGCACCCACAGCCTCGCCTGGAAAAAGCAAATCACGTACAAATGAGCAACATGCGGACAATGAACAAGTTGGAAAATTTTTAGGAAATATTTATTAAAACTTCCTACATATCAACAACTATGTACTTCTAAACACTTACAACACATCCAGTCGATTCGAGGTGTTAACGACAATCTAAAAACCAACCAGTTTAGAACGAATTCTACCGGTCAGACTAAAATCACCGGTCGACACCGTTTCTAATGACTAAATTCCTACAAATAAGTGATAACATGCTGTGTATACGTGGGAAATATTTGTCTATGATGATGAAGTCTCTGAACCGTACAACCATAAATGCATTCCGTAAATATATACGACATATACTTTTGGCATGGTGACTTCGTTAACACGTATTCAAAATGCACACATAAATGACAAGATCGTAATATTTATTTTTATAACAAACTTAAGAATTTAAAAAAGTTACGGAATTTTCGGAACTTTTCTGTTGGAATTTTAGTACACGCTTGATGGAATGTCTTATCTTAGTTCCGGTAAACAACTCTCCAAATTAGTAGGTTGAAAAATGCTAAAGGCAATAAATTCAACATTAGGAAAAAAATAATCGGCATATATGTTAAGAAGTTCACAAAATCATATAGAATAGAGTGTAAGGTAAATGAGCAAACATTACTTTCATTTAATTTTATGCATTCCATTTAATATTTAGTTTAAGAGGTACTATGATTTTTATCATAAGTAAGTGATTTATTATTGAAGTTATTAATAAAACATAATCCGTAAATCCGTAAAATGCCACATTTTCCCTGCGTACCCCTTAATTTCCTGGGTACTCTACCTTTATTGGGAATATATTTGATCGAAAACATTTTACTCTTGACTGCAAATCGCGTGGAATTTCAAACAATACTTATACAGATAGTTTTGGCTTTACGTAAGTCGTGTGCAAATTCCATCCTAGTAGCTAAAGGTCGAAAATGAAACTTTAATGTTTAAGGAGAAACATTGAAAAAGCAATAGACCTAGGATACTAATTGCAGCAAACACAATACAATACAAACGAAAAGGTGTAGCAGTTGTAACAAAAGAATGGGGTGGTCAATATTGACGTGCATGACGAGTACATATAGGTAGGTCTACTCACTTGTAAAGTTCTCCATATCCGGATGTTCGACTAAATCAGAAATAGCACGAATGAATCATTACCTGAATGTTAATAGGGTCAATCGCTAACACTCCGCTAAAAATCAAAGTTAATAATAATTATTATAAGTAATATTAAAGTGCCCTTTTTTGAGAAATTGGAGGATGTTGCGTGCATGGTTTTCGCCCCTCCAAATTATAATTGAAGGAACGTACATGAGCGGACCTTGCTTTCAAAATTTCAACATACGGGAGAAAATTAAAAAAAAGCACAGAATAAGCACGCGGAGGTCCGCATGTGAAATTGAACCGAGTCAAAATCGTACTCGCCCGACCTTAATTTCTCAATGATCGATATACAACGACTTAGATCACGCTAGTGCTTTACGTGTCGCATGAGATCCGAAAAAAAAAATTCGCCCAGTTTAACGGGAAAAGGAAAAACCGAGCGAACAAGGAACACAAACCCAAATCATTTCAAGTAAAATCGGAAAGTTGAAACAAACGTTATTCTCAAAAATATTTATAGACAACACATGACATATTCTTTGTTTCATATTCGCAAATTTGAAGTATATATTTTTCTATTCCTATCTTATTTTTAGATAATGCATTTTATTGCGAATTTTCTCCGTGTTGTAAGCGAGGTGATGAACCTGTAATTTGGTCGCTCCCTATTTTTTTCGTCCACCTGTCATAGCTTTGTTTTTCCGCTGTTTCGGCACATCGCCATCTTCAGTTTTGACAAGATTCAAACATAATCTTAATCCTAATAGGTACATCATGTATTGTTATATATTAGCAGGCCATATTTTCTTCAGCGTGTTGTCGAAAAGGTCGAAGTTTCGAGATCCATTCGGATTCTAAATCATCCACGTTGGTACAAACAACGGAGGTGTATGTGGGATCAAAACAAGGGAAACAACTCCATCAAGTTAACGGGGCTAAGAAATATCTATGCGGTTTGTAATCATACGCTCCGCGCACATTTTCAATAATCGATGCCTAATGAGAGGAATTTTCCCATAGAGGAACCGCACACAACTTCCGATCGAGATGGAATTCGGGTTCAGAGGTCAACGACGAACGGCCACCTTGCATCATCGCAAATCGCGTAGATCGGAAGTCGGAAAAGATTTGAATAGTGATAATAATCCGGCCATTCATGTTTTCTGTACAATAACAAATATAATCTTCTTTTCTTTCGAACGGCTTCAAAAATGAAGTTACGTAGTCTTACTCAACCTGCAATAATGTAGGTACACAGAGGCTGAAGTTGTTAACAATGTTTTTAATGAATTCTACCTTTCTTTTCTTTATTGGTTTATTCACCCATGGACATAGGTGTCTCTTTATTGAATAAGTCCAGTTTTTTTTCTCCTTATTAAAATAGCATTTCGGGCTAATTCCAATAACCCCTCTTCAGCTGGCAACGTTCGGCTTACATTTCTTCTATACAGGGTATCTCTCTACTCAATGCATTAACTTCACCAGCACATTCTACGCCCCAAATGGAAGAAATGCACCATATAAACCATGGTCCGATTCTCAACCATTTGGCAGATATTCAATATTTTATATTCTTGTGTGGTGTTTAGTCACCATTAGGTTACTTGGAGATCCTTTTTAATGCTGGTGGTGATTTCTATGTTTAAAATGTTTCTTTTGAAATGTATTATGGCCTTGTGTATGTCGTAAATTCTGGTGTTTGGTTGGATCTCGAAGTAATCATTTTTTATATTTTTTTCAACTATTCACGGTTTTTATAAATTTACTCGTAGCTCTTGAAGTATTAATTTTTGTAGAAGTCCAAAAATTAGTATTGAAAAGAGCGTTAAATTTCCTTTACGAAGCCATCCTTCTAGAACTTTCAATTTAATTTTTGGTAACAAAATGAATACTAAATCTTTCAAAAGCTGTTAAATTTAAAATTAGTAAAAACAACTAAATTTGCAAAAATTCAACATAGAGCTTGTCAAATTATATAAAAACTTCTTCGTTTAATATGCTTTCTAGCAGAATACCCTTTTCTTTTGGGGGGTTAATGTAGTAATTAAAACTTTTGCCCTGGGCATAATTTATTTCCTAACTTTAACTTAATAAAAAAGTGCACCAAGAAAGAAAACACCTAAAAATGGCAATAAACTTAGCGAACAACCAAAATACAAAAAAAGAACAACAATGCAAATATTGGAAAAAACTTTAACCTAATAAAAATAACAGAAAAGACAAAGATTCAACGTAAATATCATACAAAGCAGATAAAAGGAGACAATAAACGTAGTAAACAACCAAATTTTGTTTTCCTTTGTTATGCTTTTATTATTTTCACAAAAATGAATAGTTCAAGATCTACGAATACTACAGATTTATGAGAAAACCATAGGTGGTTGAAAAAAACTATGTTGGATTTTTTTTTGCTTTTTTTTATTAGGTTAAGATTAGTTTTACAAGTTCTGTATTGTTGTTCTTTTTTTCTTTCGGCTTTGTTTAGTGTACATATTTTGTCCTATTTTCCTGCTTTTGCAGTTCGTTATGTTTTATTTTCGCTTTCTTATGGGAGATGATAAATTTTTCTTTGATTTTATGCTTTTTCTATTAAGTTAAAGTTGGGAAATAAATTTCGCCCCGGACAGATGATTGGATTTATAAAAAAATCGTTTACACCTTTTTTAAATATTTTTTATTTTTTAAATTTACTTTACTTTGCTACTTTGCCTGACTTGCCCCGATAACTGATAACAGAAGGACGAGATGCCGGTCAGAACAACCCTAATAGCCATAAATCGAAATTGGTGGCGATAAACACCTTGGCACGCGTTGTTCAGAAAATTGTCTGTTCGTCCCAGATTTTGAAAATACCGTTACGAAAACAGATTATTTTCTATAGGGGAAAATAAACGGGTTCACGGCAAATGAGATCGGGAGCACTGACAATATTATGATTCGGTCTTTCGATGTGTAAACATACAGACACAGCGTGATTTAGTGTTTACTCTCGTTACTTTCTTTTAAAATCATAAACAAAGTTTACTTCCTCGGGCAATCATCAACAGCTCTTACATGTCGTTTTGCAACGTGTCACAAGAGATGCGGGCAAAAATAAAGTCTGAAATTAAAGCAACAACAACTAAAACAATTACAGTGATGAGATAGGAGAGAATAGGTTAATCCTTACCATATTAAATTGTTTTATGAATTGAATTCGCTTTTGTAATTATAAATATTAAAACAGAAGAATATGTTCAAACCTAATGCAAAACTATTTACAATTAATTTAACAAACAATTACAAAACCCAAGGAGTAAGTTGGAAAAGGTGGACGGATAGTGTCCGTCAGGTAAATCCCTTTTTCTACCTTAAGAGGCAAGGATAATTGGAATTTGTGGTCGTAACAGTGGGACGACGGGTGGAGGATGGAAAAGAGATGGGGCCAGTACGCCAAATACCGCAATGTCCCATTAAAAACCCGGCCCGACATATATTCGAGCTATCTGCTCTCGTAAGATCAGAACAGGTTATTTCGATGGGACGGGCGGGTTCTTTCAGACCGGCAAAACCGTTCGGGGATAAACTTCAAATCCTTCCCTTATCAAACAAGGGCAAACAAACGGCGTACATTCACTTAATATTCGCCGGCTGATAGGTGGCGTCATTTTTTAAATGGACAGCTGCATTAGAAACGGGACATTTATTTAATTTAAAAAATACTGTTTTCCGGCATACACTGATACCACAATCAATAAAGAACAAGGAGTAACTTTTATCTAACAACAGCGTCCCTAGATTTCTAATAGCTTTAAACGCTGACACAGGCAATTCTCGGCTTTGTCACTTTTTCCTGAACCAATTCGAAGGGTTTGTTGAGTTG